CCTCTACAATGTCAACACAATGGGGCTTTATCTTCTTGAGGCAGGTTAGAAGGCTGTGACCCTTTTTGTATGGGACCCGATCTCCTGGCATGAATGTTACGCTCATACATCAGTTGTAGTTCGTGGTCCTTTTCAATCTGATGACCCAGCCCCACAAGCTCATCCACATCCTCCACCCTTCCACGAAGTTGACTGGCAAGATGTGGTTTTATGTGTTTCAATATGAGCTTAACAACGTCCTTTTCAGTGAGATCTGGATTCCATCTGGAACAGAGAGCTCGGTAAGTATATGCAAAGTCTCTGACAGATTCATGTTCACCCTGTTTTTTAGTTCTGACCCGTTCCGCAAGTTTGTCTTCATAGTCTTCAGCTAAGAAAGCAGATAAAAATGAAGTTTTGAACTCCGCCCAAGAAGTTACTTTGGAACGTGTCGTTTCCCACCAATCTCGAGCGGTGCCATGAAGAACAGTGCGAAAAAATAGCAAGTAGATCAATATCAGATAGTGGGTGCAAAGCAAGGAAATCTTGACACTTTGATAAGTACAATAGGGAGTCAGGATCATCCCCTAGCCTCCCATATGTAGGAAAGACTAATTTAATGTGATCAATTTTAGGAAGAGAGGTAAGAGCAGAAGTAGCCATCAAGGGAGGAGTCTCCGGTAAACGGGAGAAAGATGAATGGGTTGATTGCTCTTCTTCGACTTCCAGTTTTCTTGTGTGAGCCACTGAGAATACATCAAGTTTTCCACTCATTTCATCCACTTTGGTAGACAATTTCTTTACTGCTGAAGATAACTCAGAAGTATGTTTTACCAGGTCAATGTTTTTTTTCTTGTACTGCTTTCTGGGTATCTTTTAAGTCTCGTTGAACCTCAATTTGCAACTGATCCACCATAAATCCAAGTTCCGACACAAGAGAAACTTTCATTCTATCCGCTTTCTCTGACACTACTGTTTTGATTGCTTTCAACATTATATCCATCTCACTGTAATTTTTGTCTTTAACGGAAGACACTACCCCATGGAAACTTTGTTCTGTTTGTTCTGCTAGTTTGTTTATCTTGGACTCTAAATGAAATCTACTTCTTTGTACTTGTTTAATTAAATCATTTAGAACCTTGTCCTGTTTACCCAAATCCTGATAGAGCTTATTCAGATTGTCATGGACTTGTTCAGTCAGTTGGCCCCGTCCTCTACCAGGGGTAGGAAGCATCATAAGGAGTTCACACTGAATCTCAGACTCGAGTGAGGCTCGCTCATGAGCAGAAAACACACCAGGATGTTCATTGTGGGGTTCTAAAATAGGGGAAAAAGAAACAGGGGTTGCAATGTCCATATCTGGAGATTGTAAAAGGGCAGAGGGAGGGTCTCTGGGAATGGAGGCATGTATGTTAGAATAATGATCCCTAGCGCTAAGCAAGGGGAAATGTAATGGAGTGGAAATGTCTGGAGGGGACATCAAAGGAGATGGAAAAGAATGGAGATTTGAATTAGTTGACATGGTAAATAATAACTATAAAGTCCCACTTTCACAAATGCCACTTTGATCAAAACATATACAGCTCCACGATCAATAATCTTGCCAGCAACATGTCCATTCACCTACATGCATACTATTCAATTTTAGAAAAAAAAAAAAACTTTAAATGTTCAATGTTCATTTCAGATACAATTGTGAAAGACAGGCAATTTCTTAATGTCCATATCCCAAGTTGGTTCAATATTTCAACACCACATAGTCCAGTCTCATTGTCACTTTAAATTTAAAGTTCGGAAAAGTTCATCTATTGTCCATGTTCGGCCCCACGTTGGGCGCCACTCTGTAACGGTGTGTTACGTGGTTTTATTAAACTTTTAAATGTTCATATTGGGCGCCAGACAGTTTAAATAAACTGAAAAAAAAATTTTTTTCCGATCACGGAAAACACCGAAAATCCATCACAAGAGTCTAAATCATTAAGTCCATTCGTATAATTTTCACCAACAACACAAAAAAAAATATTTAAATCATACAGTGTCCAGCAGTAAGTTCTCAAAAAGCAACAACAAAAATCAAAAAAATAATGAATCAGTTCGTTACTCTGATTTATCGGCGCGGTTGCGCTCAGACTTAGAAAGTTCACAATGAGTCAAAAAACTACAACAAAAGTAATCCCAAAACAGTTCAAAATATAGTAAATATCTAATGGAAACGAAATTTGTTCAAACGCCGTTAATGGAAGGCGGTAAGGAGTGTTAGTAATTGTTCTTCTGATGAAAGAGTGGCCGTTTGGTAATTGTAAGTTTTATTGAGACCAGTAGCCTCACAGGGAAGGCACGGGAAAGCAAATGTTTCTTTACCTCTAGGATAGGTGTCTCAGGTCGTCGAAGTGAAAGAACAACACTCACAGGTCTTCAACTTCACTTTCAGAATCCTCTTTGGCTTTGGTTTCTTTCGGGTGACTTCAGGTATCAGCTCGCGCAGTTATCCCCCGTCTTTGCAGTGCAAGAATTCGGATCATCCACATGAACAAAAATCCAACAGGGAATCTTCACAACACGCTGAAACAACGGCCTCGATTTCCTTCAACTTTCTCAGAGGCTAATCCCAACTTCCCGACCGGTCTTCCTCCTTCCGTTTCTCTACTTCCTCTTTTCTTTTCCTTTCTTTTATCACCAAACCCCACGTTTTTCGTTACTATACTTAGGTTTTTGTTTGTACGAATTTTAATAAATATTATCAAGTTGTGTAGATTTATTTTTTTGTGTCATTTAATGTGATTAAATATTATTTAACACTGTAGCATCGCTACAGTTTCCCTCCATTGTACCGAACTCATACCGAACTCATGTCTGAACCGAGGTATGAAGAGAACTGTGACTTCTGTGTACCGTTCCAACCCTAGCGCCTACAGAGAGAAATGCACGCTTCCTACGAATTAGCTTACATAAGCAGAGAGTGGCCCATTTCTTTTCGATTTGAATTGTTTTGTTTAAAAGTACACATTTTAAGCTTTCTATATATTTTTAAGGTCTGTGAGTAGGGTTGGGTACCGAGACTCGGTACCAATAGGGAACCGGTTCTGACGTAAACGGTAGTAACGAGACCGAATTAGAATGATCATTTCGGTGCCTGATTTCGATATCTGAGTCTGTGGCATGAGGCGCACACATGCAGTCTCTCGCTGTCTCCCTCTCCGACGGGTGCGCACTATAAGGTTTATTGAAGGACTGTCTGATCTGTCTTGCTCTTGCTCGCTCGCTCTAGATTCCGGGAGATTTGAACTAATTTGCGATCATCCGGGAGCCGTTATGCGGGAGACTCCCCGAACGTCTGCTGATAGTGAGGAGATTAAACACACGTGAAATTTGCACGTGAAATGTTTGGCTGCATTTCACATGTAAAATTACGCATCAGAATAACGTTTGTCTATGGATATAGAAGAATCACCATTCGCGCCGCGTTGACGCTCACGTCGTCATATTATATTAGCGCCCGCATCATCTGCTCCTCAGAGTTCTCTGCCGAAAAAGGAAGCTTGTCGGCAGCGCGAGATATTTAGCAGCGAACGCAGCGTCTCATTCCCTATTCAGAGAACACAGACGTTCTCTTTCATATACTCAAAGCTGTGGGAACGAAGCTGTATCTTTCATATACTCATAAGACGCAGTGGGAACGAAATATCAAACTGGCTAAGAGCTTAACTAGTAAATGACAAGATAACTTAGCCTACATGACTAGTTAAGTCAAGTCAAGTCACATTTATTTATATAGCGCTTTTCACAATACAGATTGTATCAAAGCAGCTTTACAGTGATAACATGAAAGTAGTACAACACAGATCAATAATATTGCTAAACACTAAATAACCCCAATATTAACTACAGGTTTCCATGTTTTGTCTAGTTAAAGCAGACAAAACATGGAAACCTGTAGCCATGTCGATATATTACCCTGGTAGTAATCTCTATTAATCTCCAGTATAATTACATTGTTTAATATAATATTGTTTTATTTGATATTATGTAAATATGAACTTTTATTTTATATTGGTTCATTTACCATATGTTACTTGTATTTATATTGTAAGTTAATATTGTGTCCAGTTTGGCCCTGTAAATAAAGGGGTATTATTTTTTTGACAAAGTGTGTGCGGTTTCGTTTTCTTAAGTACCGTTTCAAGAACCGTTTAGGCACCAGAACCGTTTAAAAAATACCCAGTAGGTACTGGTATCGGATAAAACCCAACCGATACCCAACCCTATCTGTGAGGCAATAATGGCCTATAGATTCGGTTCATTTATGAGAAAAGCCCCAGTTCACTTGCAATGAAATTGCATCGACACCTCAGTCTCCTGATTATATTGTCTGCTATATTTGCTTCTTATCTATTAAATCCAGGAAATTGGTTGATTAAACATTGATTAAAATTAAGATACCATTTATCCAAAACAAAGTTCACTTTAAAGAAAGGCTTTCTACAACGTAAAACTTAATTAAGTGGTCAAAATCATGTCTGAACCATTTCAAATGTCTCCCGATATAATTTGTGAGATATTATTCAGATTGTATTCGTCTGAAACAAGAACGTGATATACACCAAGGATGACTTGAGTGTGAGTAAAACATGGGCTAATTTTCATTTTTGGTTGAACTATGCCTTTAAATCTCTTAATTGTAAAAATAAATAAATAAATAAAAAGTTTAGACGTGCACGAGTCACTGTGTTACTGACATATGTGCTAGAAAACACTAAAAACATAATATGGCTTGATCTTAATCTGGAGGATCACTTAATGTTATCGTTACACATCATCATCGACCAGTCCTAAAATGTGGTAAAGCACTAAGGCATCATAGACATAATAACAATATGCATTTCTGTAATGCTGCTTTGAAACAATGTGTATAGTGTAATAAATTTGACTTGACTTGAAAAATGACCAGGAAATAATATATAATCGCCCACATGCTCTCAAGAACAAAAAGGTTTTGTTTTTAAAGCATTTAACTAACCTTCAAACAAACACTTGTATTCGGATAGGCTGTGTCCCTGGAGCCATTCTTCAATCTGACTTTCCTTGCCTTTCTTCCAGCGCAACTCCCAGAACAAAACCCACAAGACTGAACAGAAGAAGAAGGTCAGCAAAAAGAGGCGGTCCATCAGACCATGTTCAGCCTCCGCTCAGACCTCTGTGAGCTCAGAGTCTGCCTTGACTTCTGCTGTCCTATCTGGTCCTGACCACCTCTCCCATGTCTTCTCCTACTGGGAAAAAGGACAGGATACATATAATTCAAGCTGTGTGAACGATATTTGAGTGAAATGTACATGCATGCGCAGAGCATTCAGAAAGTATTGGAACCATTTGATTTTTGTCCTACATATTTAATTATACAGCAAACTTCTGCTAAAATGCTTTAAATATTGTGTATTCACATCAATGTATAGGCCTACTCCATACGCCAAGAAGTAAAAGCAAAAAAACTAATTTCTTATAACTTTGCAAATGTATTAAAAAAACACACATATATAAATAACACTCCTAAGTCAGTACTAAGTGGAAGCACCTTTGACAGCGATTAAAGCCTCAAGTCTTTTTTGGGTATGTGACAAGCTCTGCACACCTGGATTTAGGGATTTTCTGTGGAACACAAAAAAATGACATTTTGAAGAACGTTGGGAACCAAACAACATTGGAGTCCATTGACAATTGTATGGACAAAAAACCCCCCAGACATTTCTCCTAACATCATCTTAGAGTTTTGGAACAATATGAGGGTGAGTAAATGATGAGATTTTCATTTTTGGGTGAACCATCACTTTAAAGATATTTCTGTATTTTGCTATGTTCCGTTTTTCTTCAGATTGGTGAAGTGTTGCAATGATGGTTGCCCTTCTGAAAGTTTATCCCATCTCCACATATGACCATATGGTTCTCAGTAACTTATCTTCCTAAGATTTGGCAGGGCAACCAGCTCTAGGAAGTGTACTGGTTGTTTCAAACTTCTTTCATTCAAGAATTATGAAGGCCACTGTGCACTGGGAACCTTAAATGTGGTAAAAAAAAAAAAAAAAAAAAAAAAAAAAAAAAAAAAACAATGGCACAGATCGTTCTACAGATCTGTGCCTAGACACAATTCTGCCTATGAGCTCTGCAGGCAGTTCATTTGACCTCATGGCATAGTTTTTGTTCTGGTATGCCTTTTCAGTGTTTATTTTTAATAAATGTGCAAAGTTATCACATCTGAATACTGGTATCACAGGTCTGAATACTTTCTAAAAAGCAGTGAAGTGTTAGGAGTAAACAGGAAAGTGATCTAGAGACTTTTGAAAAAAAGCTTGCTGCAACTCAACTAAAAGATTTAAAGGGATAATTATTATTTTGTGTTGTGTTTTAAAGATATTACAACTTTCGAGATGAGCATGTGTTTAATCAGTAATTTAAGAATACATTTACAACTTAGCATCCATTCACCGAGTGACAGGCTTCTGTTAAAAAATGACTAAAGCTCCACCGTTTAGTCATTTTAGTCTTTAAACGTTAAATATCCTGTTAGCCTTTAATATTATACAGTACTAACGTTACATTGGTGCAAACTAGTTAAATACAGAGAAAACGTCCTTGAAATTGCTAGTGAGTTGCCAAATGAAATAACAATCCAACCATACATATCTTTAACTCTCACTCACAGTGGCATAAACAGAAAATATGCGACGCAAAATAATAATCAAACAATGTCATTCATAGAGCCAACACTCAGTACTGACATACAAAGTAAACAACAAAACTAGACGTACTGTATGAGTTCATATACCAATTCATATTAAGCGAACAGCTGCAGTATTGTCTTCTAGATATTTACCTTGATGGATGTCACTGAGAACCGGAAACACCGCAGTATCTAGCGCAAGAAATGACGTAGGAAATGGCGCAGCGTAAGTAAAATCAGAAAGGTGGATTGTGTCGCATGATAATGACGTCGAAATACGCGTTGTCGCAAAGTTTAACACACGAGGGTTAGAGAGTGAATATCTCGAGCTTATTCAGCCGTCATGGTAAAATTAAGGGTTTATCTAAACAATGCTCAACAGCGTTTGTTAGATAATGTACATAATCGCTTTATTACTTTTTTGGTTGAATGACAACTTTTGTTTGTGTGAATTAGGGAAAACAGAAGAAACAGAAAAAATATGCTACCATGAAAAGAATGATCAGTTTGAAGGATCAGAGGATGTGAGTATATTTGTGCTATTATTTCTATAAGCAAGTGTGTTACAAATAAGAGAATATAATGTATTAGCAAATCATTGCAAAGTACTTTCATTACAAATGATAAACAGCCGTTCAGTACAGCTCTGTTGAGAAACGCCTCAGTTAACCAGTGTTCAGTCACTGTTCACCTCAAACGGGTAAATCGCCCAAAATATTGTCTATGATTGGAATAACTGAAATATTGACAATGTTATTTCTATGTGTTTCTTCAAAATAATAAATTGTTAGCGAATTGTTACTATCTTGCGATAAACATCCTACCATCAAGTATTGTATTAAACTGTAATTTTATGTCAGACCCGTGGTTAATTTTAGTCATCATATGAATAGTATTACCATGATTAATATTTACATACCTTTACATTTAGTCATTTAACAGATGCTTTTATCCAAAGCGGCTTACATCTGAGGACTTAGTCAAACAAGTCATCGTGAAGAGGCAACAACAACACAAGAAGTGCTTAAAATACAAAGTTCAAATATTGCTCAGAGTAGTATAAACCAGGCAAGTAAGGTTTATATATATATATGTGCTATAAGTGCTCATGGAAGAGATGAGTTTTCAATTGTCTTTAGTTTTAAATGCTGTCAGGGATTCTGCATTCCGGATGACGATAGGCAGATCATTCCACCAGCATGGAACCGTGAATGAGAATGTTCTAGAGAGTGATTTTGTGGCTCTTTGTGATGGTACCACGAGCCATTGCTCATTGATCGATCGTAGGCTTCTGGTAGGGATGTAATAGTAGCAGCTTCTTAAAGGCTGAGTTTTATTGTTGTCCATCTTCCAGACTGTTCCCCACAGCCAAAATGCAATATTTGACCAAACTATAGCCTTCCTATGTGTTTTATTATGTCACACAATATGCAACTCCATGTCTAGATTACAATTGTTGCTCATGTTGTAGGGTGGTGGGAAAACATAGGCACCAAAGGATTCCTCTATTTTGCCTTCTAAAATTGACCAGATGAATGTTTTCCTGTAGACAGGATGTGATGCGTTAGATTTGGGATGTCTTCCTACCTTCTAATGCTACTTGTGGAGGCTGCATTTTTTTTTCCAGCCATTGATTTAAAGGGTTGGTTCACCCAAAAATTTATTGCTCAGCCCACTTTCAGTATACACGTGATCAGAGAAGAGATTGGATTTCATGTTGACTTTAATTTTGTGTGAATTACCTGCATCTGTGCAGCTGTCATCAGTGTTGGGCAGTATGCAGCATCTCTGCAAAAATTTCAAAGCTAACTTTTTTTTATCAATAAAGTAACTGGGCAGCACTGACAAAAGTGAATATATATCTCTTTTTTTGTCTGTCTATGCATGTGAGAGACAGAGAGAGCAGTAGAAAATGTGTGTGCTTAATTGCATACCTTTTAGAATGTCTGTAAACCAATCACAATCAAGGATTCAACAGCACAACGGTGTAATCTTAAAAATGGCCTTAACTTATAAATACTGTAAAAACAGTAGATTAGTGCATCACTGTGTTGCTCTTTTCTTGTTTTTTTTTTTCTAGAAAAAAACAGGACAGAGCAAAAACACAAAAGAAGAAGAAAGAAGATCCATCAGCCATTAAAGAACAGGAAGTGTAAGTTTGAGTTCTCTCAAATATTGTTTTTGTTACTTTTAGAGTTTGCCATACAGCAAATGAAATTGAAATCTGCTTATTTGAATGGCATGACATAACAACATTGGCTCACAATATACACCATAATAATGTATCTACTCAAAATTTTCTTCAAATGTAGGCAAGCTGTTAGTGAAAAGTTAGGTTTAGGGACTTAGGGGAAGGTAATCAATCCAATTCCCAGAGGTATTTTAACCCAGAGGTAAGTTTAATAATACTGTCCAGTAAATGTAGCTATAAGTAGATGCATCCAAGTTATTTGTGATATAAATGCACATTTAGCAAAACTTTAAATAAAAACACGTCTTCTTTTAGAACACATTTTATGGTGAGACACTTGCATTTTGAGACACTTGCAAAGGGGATCTTTTAAAGGACAAGTTTGGTATTCTACATTTAAAGCCCTGTTTTAAGATTGTTTCTGATGAAATAGAACGGTTAAGATTGAAATTTGGACACAGCTGCTGGCCCGAGAATTTTCGGTTCCCCCCCTGACACACACACACCTCCACAATGGTTGTATGGGTGCACTGGAGCAATCATTCATAAAACGCATTAAACTTTAGTTTAAAAAGACTTGCAACTCACCGAGTGAACAGAATGAGTTATATTCGTTTCTAGAGCTCGGTATGGAACACGAGAGTCAGGATTAACCCAGGTTTTAGTAGTCTTATTTGAAATGTTTGATAAAATTATTTAAAGTCAGGAAATGACAAAACCCCATTTGAGTTTCCTATATTTGCATTATGTCGAGTTCTGGGTTTATGTTTATTTCATATGAATTTAGAGGGAGCGCATTGAGCTCTTTGAGGGGAAAAAACATACAGGGTGTGCTAGTAGCAACATATAAAATGAATAATCATTGTAATGCCTATAGAGATATTTATAGTAATATGTTTAGTGTTTGCATTAGTTATTGTATGTTAGGAGAAATAATCTTTGCCTCAACCCTTTTTTTTCAGTGCAAAGTATCCATCTTGTCTGTTCTTTCAATACAACACCCAGCTTGGACCTCCATATTACATCCTTGTTGATACCAACTTTATCAACTTTTCTATTAAGGCCAAATTAGATGTTGTCCAGTCAATGATGGACTGTCTTTATGCTAAATGTAAGTCCCCACATTCTTTTCTCAGATTTATTTACAACAATGCTAATGTGAAGTGAAGGAATGTATTTTGTGTGTTGATGATTGTAGGGAATGCTATGCAGCAACATTGAACAGAAATGACAGTGTTCAACACAGTTTACAGCATACACACTGAACGCATGCCACACATAAAAAGGAAAACAGTTTACAACATTATATATACACACATTACACATATACAGATAAAGTTCTACGCACACATTGGCAATAGAATTTAACAACTTTTTTCAAAGGTACATTCATCTGTAACATAATTTGAATGAATAATTAAACTTGAATGAATAACATGAATAGTTCTGAAGTGGGTCTTAGTTTAATTTTAACTACAGATGGCGATAGTCAGGTGAAAAATATAACATGATGGAAAAATTACAACCCAGTCAGTCAAAGGGATTGATTATGATCCTTTGAATGGGTATCAGTTGCAAGAAAATGTTTGTGAACCCTTTGAAATCACATTTTCTGCATTAATTACTGATTAAATATGATGTCAATCATAATTACAGACCAACACAATCAGACTAAACCAATAACACATACATTTGTACTTTTCAAGCTAATATGTTTTTATGCATTTTTTTTGTAATGTGTTGTAACTTTTGTTGTTACAGGTGTTCCTTGCATAACAGACTGTGTGATGGCTGAGCTTGAGAAATTAGGAATGAAGTTTCGAGTGGCTTTGCGGTAATGCACACTTGTAAATTATAAGGCTGGGTATTGACTCAAATTTCACAATTCGATTCGATTTCGATTCACAAGCTTGCGATCCGATTCGATTCAATATTGATTATTTTGGATATCAGTTACAATAAATGGCAAATTTTCTCAAGGAATTCAAATCTCTTAACTAATGCTGTAAACTATGGGAGTCTAGTTGTAGCCTACTAGGCTTCATTTGCCTAATATGAAGGTAATAATTAACTGTTTTGTAGCTATACAAACACTTAAATTACACTATTATTTATTTTTATAATAAGAAGATTATATGAAATATAAACATTTAGATGGTGGCTGTCATAAAAACTTGCCAGATTTATTCAAATATGCATTAAATATTGAAGAACATTAAGATTATAATGCATATGGTGTATTTTTTTAGCAAAATGCTCCTCTAGAGTTATTTTTTTCTAGCTGACTAACGAGTTTATGTGGGTTTTCTGAGGTAAATATGTCGATACATGACATTGATTACAAGCTGTTTAACTGACGTCTTTCTACGGTTGAAACGCTGATTGAGTGAATCAATGTGACATGGTACGGATTTCGATAAGTTGTACTCTATCTATTAACACACTTTCAGATGCTCGTTCATGTTTATTATTTCGCTCTGTGACTGGCCAGAAGAGAGATCACGTAATTTGAAAATTGAGACTTTGTTTCATATCAATAGTAACAAAGGACAAAGATTATTGCGATTTTTATTTATTTATTTATTTATTTTTTTTGGGATGTGCGCAGCCGCGATACAATGTTCCATTCATTCAAATGAAACAGGATGACTAATCGATTCGGTTCGTAAAAATGAGAATCGATTAATATCGAGAAATCGATATTTATTACCCAGCCCTAGTAAATTACATGCTTGTAAAAAATAGTGTCTTGAACATCAGGGCTCAAACCAATTGAAAGTAATACATTTTTGATTACAAAAGTTAACTATTTGAAAATAAGTTTCATCTTAATATATGCACACATTCACTCTTAATCATTTGCCTAATATGTCAAATTTGAACTGCTCAACCCTTAAAGACCAATACAGCCTGCCACGGCTAAAATGAACTATTCTCAAATGTTTAATAACTTTTGATCTGCTAATCCAATCTGAATGCTTTAAAAAGTCTCATAAAAAGAACGTGTTTTTCACATTTGGACTTTCAGTGGCCCCGTAGTGAATTTGATTTCGTCATCAGGTTTGATCAGCATTGATTCGTCAAAAAAAAAAACATGCGGTTTGTTCCTCTGAGCCAAACAGGAATGATTTTTGATGCTTATTCCAACCCCCATGCCCAGATTGGTTGAAACTATCACCTACTCAACCAATAAACATATGTTTTGGTTTTTTGCACAACCAATTATCATCTTTCTTTGGAAAATTGAACTGACGCAAAGTGAAAGTAGTTGCGTGCGTGAATGCATATTTGCCTGCATGAAAACAAACACAAAATAACAGATTTGCATGACAGCACTTTCTGACAAAGCATAACACAATTCAAAAATGGATATAAAACAGCAGAACACATCAGTATAAAGTATGTGTTTTCAAACGAGACGCTAAACTATGCCCCAGGGAACAGAAACCTACAATTCTCGGGACAACATCATTTGTTCAAATTTCAATCTTAACCGTTCTATTTCATCTGAAACAATCTTTAAGTGGCTTTAAGTGTAAAATACCAAACTAACCCTTTAATCTGTTTAAAATAATTTAGCAAGGGTTCTTGCAAACAAAATTTTTGTACCAAAATATTGATGCTTAAGAAATAAGCTTTGGGAGAGAAATGGCTCTAATAATCTCTATCCCCACTCTCTCTTCCTCTCTCTTCCTCTCTAAATGCCCATAAAATCTAACTAAGCATCCCAGAAAAAGCAAAGTTATAGATGTATAAAGATATGGAAGTTTTTAGTTATTTGTATTTTTTGTTGCTGTGCACTTTACCTGTGGTCCTTGGTTGTCCTTTAAGTGTATTAGAAAAACCAATCAGTCCCTCCAGGATTTCACGATTTATTTATTTTTTGTGATCAAAATGACTGATTTTGTGGTGGTAATTTCCAAAAATTTGTAAAAAATTTGCGATTTATATATAACATTTACCATAATAGTAATGGCTGACTTACTCAAAACATTATTTTGGCTAAAGCCTTTTGTGTTTCAGTTTTTAGTTTAACATAGAAGATCTGAGTCTGTAAATGTAGCTTTAGACAGTCTTTTTTCTTTATATATTCTACAGGAAAGTTTTATTTGTCAAGCCCTAAGATGTTCCCAATAACCAAGCACAAGCTGCTAAGTTAATATGCTGGACATGTTGCTTGCAAATAAATACACGGGTATCGATTCATGATACATTGTCTTCTCTTAAATGTAATACTTAATGTACCGTGTTTTTAAATATAGTTTAATAAATAATGCTACATGACAAATAGAAGGCTTCAAATAGACCCTGTAATCTGTGATTATTATCGGTATCGGGTGAGACAGCTTCCAGTAATTGGGGATCGGTGATCCAAGCACCCCTAATAAAAATTCCTGATCAGAGCACCCTAATAATGTTGTTATACTGTAAATGGCTATAACTTGCTTAGGGATTGTTACATGTAGACAATGTCATCTGGAAATCTAGTATATATAACTTTTTAAATATATATAACTATATATATTTATAAAAACAAACTTTCTAAAAAAAAAAAATCCAAACTAGCCAGAAAACATGTTATATAAACTTTCTTTTAGTTTATGATGTAATACACAGACAGGTAGCTTATATTGGCTCTAGCACTACCCAAAATCAAACCGGAGTTTCCAGGGGGGTTTTATCCATAGTTTGTGGTCTTGTATAGTGGTCTTGTATAGTTGTTTGTGGTCTTTAAGTCGAAGTATGACTTTAACAACATGATCGGAGCTGTTTTCTATGTTGTCGTTTACCATTTACATGCGAATGTTGTACACACCCCAAGTTAACAAACTTTTGAGACTATCAAGTTTATAAATGATAAATTAAATAAAGAAATGCTCACTTATATGTAACTTTGGAGCCTCTGCTGTGACGCTGTACAAACACTTCCAGTGTGAATACTCAGGTGCGTCTGCAGTGACAATGTAGTTCACGCAGATGTGAAGCTGAAGCGATGTTCAAGCTTGCGATGTGAAACGGCCGACTTATCTAATATATAAAAAAAGGGTGTGACCAAATTGTTCTCTGATTGTTGGAACTAGCTTTGATTTTCCCTTAGGTTTTGACTTGCCATAATGTTGTAATTTTGTCATTTTTCTGTTTAGAAGTCATGTGTGAACAGGGCCTGTTTTTTAATGTTTGCAGATTGGCTCCAGCAATTTGGTGGGATAAGATAGAAGTAACATTACCTGAATAGTTCATAAGATTAACCGCATTGTGGACAGCAGTGTCATTTGTCGAAAATTACAATTTGATATCATCACAGTTTCAACAGCATTTCTGTGCTGATGTGTGAATGGAAGCAAAATAGTTAAATAGTTTTCATTTGTGAAAATGGCTACTCTTTCTTCCTTGCTTTTTATGGCTTTTTGAACTTTTTGTGCAGGATTGCCAAAGATCCTCGCTTTGAACGCTTGCCTTGCTCACACAAAGGAACGTATGCTGATGACTGCTTGGTACAAAGAGTAACACAGGTATGAGAACTTTGTTAGCTGTGGGGTTAGAATTGTTTTGTATTCTCTAATAGATGAAATAAGATTTACAAATAGGAAGACAAATGCATGTGTACAGTAGGTGGACAACCAGAATGCCACTTACCGCCACGGTAAATCCACCGCGGCAAAAATAAACCAGCCGTATTTCAAAGTCGGTCGCAAAATGACCACTAGGTGGCGCAAAGGGACATTTAGCGAAAGCAAAACTTAATTATATAAGAGTAGCTTACATTTTAAATAGAATATAGCTTTAAATATAATATAAACTTTTATAACAGAACATTTTATTAATCAAAAGTTAAAATAGGCCTATCTCGCAGTCAGTGAAAATAAATTGGGTGCTTTCAATGATGCTATTGAGGAATGAGAAGACTGAAGAGCGCTTCTCTCTCACGTGTGCACACTGACTGCTGAACAACCGAACTTCTGGGCCTTTTTTCAGTGAGAAAAGTTGTGGTCGAGTGGTAGAACTTAGGTTCAATCATTTTGATCACACTGTTTCAAATCCCGAATAAACATGATATAAAAATTACCATGCATTTCCATTTTACACTATGGAACAAATCTCTTCGAACAGATTGACTGAATTTACATCTTCAAAAGCAGTTAAGTTAAAAAATAAATAAATAAATCTTAATGGGGTCCATTTAGATTTTTTGTTTTTAAACATAACCAAGCTAAGCGAACACACACTGGAAAAATAAATTTTTGGGCTCCTCCGTGACCGTGAGTTGAGACATGGCCGAGTGGTAGAATTTAAGGTTCTACCACTACGTTGACATGGGTTCGAAGCTCGATCAAACATGGATTACTGTAGTTGAATTTTATATTTAGGCTATTAATGCAGAACGATTTGTTCTGAAACTCCACCATGTTACACCATTTAGTTTTTTTGCTTATATTTATAAAATAAAATTACCATGCATTTCCATTTTACACTAAGGAACAAATCTCTTCCAATGAAATGACTGAATTTACATATTCAAAAGCAGTTATGTAAAAAAAAAAAATAGAAAATAAAACTTAATGGGGTTCCATGTAGAATAAAAATAAAAAAAAAAACATAACCAAGCTAAGCAAGGATTTGCCGGTGGGGAGCGCGTTCCAGTTTCAGTGGCCTTAATACATTGATACACGGCTTTTTAAAATGCCACAAAGTGTTTTGAGGTGGTTTTGAACGAAATATTGAAGTTTATAATTGAGTATTTTGACACGCCATGCTGAGTGTAGGCTTATTCTAAAATCGGGTTTTATTCTGGCATTAATTAGTGTTTGACAAATGCGGCGGTGCTCTCTTGAATTTTTCTCATAACAGCTAAAATAAAATCATCTTTTAAAACTGTAAAAGGTGTACTTTTTTCATGTAAACTAGGCTTACACTCACAATAGGTTAACGACAAAACGTTTTCTCGCTCATTTGAGCGAACAATCAGTGGAGAAAGTTTGGCCATTTCGCCTTCAGTTAAGACGTAGCCGAGTGGTAGAACTTACGGTTAGAACATCACAGTGACATGGGTTCGAATATGGAATGCCAAAGCTGACTTAATTAAAAATAAATATATACATAAATAAATATACGAAGAAATGTAAAAAAGCAAAAATACAAAAATAAATACATAATTAAATATACAAAGAAATGTAAAAAAGTAAAAATAAATGAGTATTTATACTTTTATTTCCATATTTATGTATAATTGTGTTTTTTTCACACATTTATTTATTTATTTATTTATACATTTATTCATTTATTTATTTCCACTTTTATTTATTTCCACATTAATTTATATATTTATGTTTTTATTAGGGCTGTGCAAAAGTTAATTGCGATTAATCGCATCCAAAATAAAAGTCTGTGTTTACATAATATATTTGTGTGTGCTGTATATAATTATTTTGTATATATAAATACACACACATGCATGTATATATTTAAGAAAATGTGTTATTCATATAAAAAATATTTATATTTATATAATATAGATTATGTATTTATAGATGTATACAGAATTTAAGCGCAAATAATTCTTAAATATATACATGCATGCATAGGTATTTATATATACAAAATAATTATATACAGCGCGCACAAATATATTATGTAAACACAGACTTTTATTTTGGATGCGATTAATCGCAATTAACTTTTGCACAGCCCTAGTTTTTATGTCTACATTTATTTATTTTCACATTTATTTATTTCTACATTTATTTATTTCCATATTTAATTATTTACACATTTGTTTATTCCAACATTTCTTTCTCCGTATTCTAATGAGGGGGGCGTGTTTTAACACAGACATCAGCAATCGACCTCAGAATGGCAGTGGTGAAGCTTTGAGGCCACAGTGACACCTTGTGGCGTGTGACTAAATGAAACGCAAGAGCTGTGCAGGCAATATCACATTTTAAGTCATGTGTATCACCCTAACTGTAGCCTATGTAGGGTAGGCTATATAGGGTTAACACACACAGCACACATGAACAGAAACTGCACTTCAACGGCAGATATTTGGACATGAAAGCGCGTGAAAGTATCCACTATTAATAACTAGGGCTGGGCAAAAAAATCGATTTTTCGATTAATCGTTTTTTAAAATGTGATTCAAAATCGATTCTCAACGGCCACGAATCGATTTTTTCCATATAAAGGGCTCGCGGACGCGGTGCGGCGTCTTCTCTTCTCACTGCACTAGGCAAGCGCCAAGCGCTGCAGCTGTCGATACACACACGCGTTCAGGAGTCGGGACATGACGGAATATTCACTTAACAATCGGGCCAGCATTGCATCGTAACCTATGATCGTAACTAACGTTTATCATTTTCACGTCTTTTTGTGTTTTACAAGCAATGTTAAACCATCCCGTGCTCGCGCGCTCTCAGAGATGTCTTTCACTGCCTCACAAACAGCTCGCCAGAAACAAAAGTTTTGTCCCTGGATTATATCACTTTAACAGTTAAAACACGCGACATTATGTCAAAACTCTGGTCTTGGTGAGTAACCTCGTAAAGACAGTCGGTAATGTCTTAAATTAGCATTAAACGCGTGTGACAGAAAGTTAATGAAACAGTATGGATTCACGCACTAGTTCTTAAAGTGAACGCAGCCATTTGTGTCAGTCATTAATTCTGTTGTCATAACAACAGAATATAGTATTAATTGTAAGCAATCAGAATTAAAAGCCTTTGTATTTAATTCAGTCTGGACTAAAAAGACTATCCAGTGTTATTTTACATTGGATTACTTTATTCAGTTTCTGTAGTATTTCTGACATACCCAAAAAAACTACCCCAAAATGTCTCTTAATTTGTGTCTTTATTCTATTGTATTTATTTGTGCTACTTTTTTCAATTTAATTCAAAGATTGAAATCAAGCTTCCATACATAAACTCTTAAAACAAAAACAAAAAACAAAAATAAACAAAAAAATTACATTACCATTTAGGTAAGATCAATGTAAAAAAATGTCTAAATATTTATATATTTATTTATCTATATCTATCTTAAACATAAAATAACATGATACTGTTTGATCAAGCTGTGCGACTGTTCTGACTTTTTTTGCATATTGCATCAAAATCCTGTTTATTCTTTGTATGCATTTAGTGTACCTAAAATAAAAAGAGTTTTATATACAGGTTTATGGCTCTTAATTTCTTTGTATTAATTAACCACTAGTAAACTTATGTCCATTGTTCTTTTTTATAAATATAGGATTTGTATTACATCTTCATTATAGTCGAATCGAGAATCAAATCAGGAATCGAGAATCGAAATCGAAAATTGAATCGAGAATCGAAATCGAATCGAACTGAGAGCTTGTGAATCGAAATCGAATCGAAATTGAAATGTGAATCGATACCCAGCCCTATTAATAACAATGTAAATGCGGTGGATAGGGCTGATAGCTTGCATTTGGCTTGCGTTTATTGTCGATGAGACTCGCACACAAAACGCGACTCAAAACGCGGTTTACATTCGTTTCCTCATTTTGTATGCATAACTGCGTAAGGAAACCGCGCATTGAGTCATGTTTTGTGTGCGAGATGCTGCTCTTAGACACTGATTAATCACAAGGCACCAATTTTGAATTATTCTTAAATTAAACAATGGGGCATGTAATTGCAGTGAGCCTCGCATCCCATGCCATGCATTCTGTATTAAAATTTTGACTTTTAAAGACTAATTGACTTTTGTTCATTTAATTTTACTGATAACAGCCATAGTGCCTTAGTATTATAATAACCGAGTAGTTTATCTATTAATATTAAGAACTTGACATACAGTATATGATGATGTATAGCTATAAGCCTACCTATTTAGTAAGGTTTGGGGAGGTATAATATCAATTATAGGGGGAAATATCACCAGGACCATGGGCACGACCGGTGCTGTTTGAATGGGCATATGATTCTTCTGTGCTCCATGGCGTAAGATGTAGCTCACTGTGTTTACATGAGCCCCTTTTGTTTGATTTAAGAATAATTCAAAATGGATGACTTGTGATTAATCAGTAGCTATCTAAGAGCAGCATCCATGTTATATGGGTTGCCTTTTAAACATTTGAATTGTCACCTGTTATGCATACAAAATGAGGAAACGCGAATGTAAAGTAATGTAAACACTGAGTCTGTTTCAAACTGATCAATATGCTTGCGTAGGAGTCAGTGAAATGTGCGCTGGTTTCTCTCCACGTTCTGCGCTGGTGTGCAAGTTAGTGTTGGGCGATATGCTCCATTTTCATATCGTCCTATCGTCAGCCTGTGAGATCGGCGATACACGATAGTATCGTGAGGGGGCGGGGCTAACATTTGATTATTAACTTGATTATTTAGCCTACTCATTCATTTGCTTGTTTTATTAGCCTACTTCGTTTTATATACGAGAATCGTTTTTTTCTATTTTGCTAGCAAAGGTGGAGTGTTTATTAATAGGATCAGGTTATTTCCTGGTATAGTGAGGTAAATAAAAAGAGATCCTC